TTCATGTATCATGTAGCCACCAATCCTTGTTGTATTTTCTCACGTACATAATGACAATCGACTTCAATGTGTTTGGTTGATTCACAAAATACTGAGATCTGATGCAATATGGAGAGCTACTTGATTATCGCATGAAAGTTTCATTGGAGTGGTGATGTCAAATCTCAATTCAGTCAGAAGCTGATGTATCCATACTAATTCATGCACCGACTGTGTCATAGCCCTATATTTTTATTCAGCTCTTGAATGCGACACCACATTTTGTTTCTTACTTTTTCAAGAAACTAAATTACCTCTGACAAATACACAATATCCTGAGGTTGAACTTCTATCTTCCGTAGAACCTTTCTAATCAGCATCTAAAATACATTCAATATTAAGATGACCATGATCTTTATATAACAAACCACGTCCAGGAGCACCTTTCAAATAACATATAATATGTTCCAATGCGGCCCAATGGTTAGTCGTAGGAGAACTCATAAACTGACTCATAATGTTAATTGGATAAGCTATGTCTGCCTAGTAACTATAAGGTAATTCAACTTCCCTACTAATCTCCTATACTTCTCGAGATCTTTCAACTCCTCACCTTCCTTTGTAAGTTGTAACAAGTCTAAGTACATATTTTCTCTGTGACAAGAGAATCCTCTTCTTACTCCTTATTACCTCAATTCCTAAGAAGTATTTCAGCATTCCCAAATCCTTAGAATGAAATTGACTATGAAGAAAAGTCTTGAGTGATAGGATGCCTGATGTATCATTACCAGTAATCACAATATCATCAGTATATACAACTAACAAGATAACACTAGACTGAGATTGTTTATAAAAAAAACAGAATGATCTAACTTACTCTTTTTCATTCCAAAGTCCTCAATCACGTTACCGAATGCTTGCGGACTTTGTTTCAACCCATATAAGGAATTATTTCTCCCCCTGAGCAACAAAACTTGGTGGTTGCTCCATATACACTTCTTGAAGATAACCATGGAAGAATGCATTTTTAATATCAAGCTGATACAAGGGCCAATAGTAGATGGATGCCAAGGAAATAATCCAATTTAGCAACCAGAGATAAAGTATTAGAATAATCAATTCCATAAGTCTATGTTTAGCCTTTAGCAACAAGACGAGCTTTCAATCGGGCAATGGATCCATAAGGATGAACTTTAACAGCAAACACTTGTTTACAACTATTAGGTTTCTTTCCTACAGGAAGAGAGACTAAATCCTAAGTACCATTGTCATCTAAGGCATCATCTCCTCAAACATAGCAGCTCATCAACCCGGATGAGACAAAGTTCCATGAACAGTTTTAGGAACAGATAAAGACTCGAGGGATGCAATAATCGAACAAGTAGGTGAAGACAAATGGTTATATGAAACAAGAGAAGAAACAGGATAAGAACATTGACGTTTACCTTTTCGAAGAGCGATAGGAAGATCATCACTCATTCTTGGATCCACTGACGAAGAAGCTGCTGGTATGGGGCATGTGACGGAAGAACGTTGCCCTCTAAAATAAACTTGAGTAATAGGTGGCAAAGGAGGACCAAGCACAGATGGAGATGTATCGCTAGAGGACACTTCAGTAGAAGTAGAGACAATAGAATAGACAAGAAAGTCATCATCTTCCTAAGAATGTTCCCCCTAACTGTTACTCAAGGATGATGAAAAAGAAGTATCTTCAAGGAACGTGATGCAGAAGATACTAGATATCTATTGAGATCAAGAAAATAACATCAATACCCTTTTTTAACACAAGAATAACCAAGGAAAATGTATTTCAATGACTTAGGGTCCAATTTGGTGAGCTGGGAGCGGACATCTCGAACAAAACAAGTGCAACCAATTTTAAGTTTAATAAAAAATAAAGGTTGTGTGGGACATAAGTACGATAAAGTATCTCACCCTTAAGAATTGATGAAGACATGCGATTAATCATGAAGCAAGCCGTCGAAACAGCATTGGCCCAAAAATATTTCGAAACATGCATTTGAAACATCAAGGCCCTTGCTGTTTTGAGAAGATGTCTATTTTTCCTTTCTGCAACTCCATTTTGAGATGGAGTATCGACACAAGAGGATTGGTGAAGAATACCACATTCATCTAAATAGGAGCCAAGAACACTATAAAAATATTCTTTAGCATTATCACTCCATAAAACTTTAAAAGAGCCACCAAATTGAGTTTGAACTTCGACATGAAAGTTAGGAAAATGAGAAAGTAACTTAGAACGACGTTTCATTAAATATAACTAAGTTACACAAGAAAAATCATCGACAAAGGTAACAGAATACCGAAATCCACTTTTGGACTCAACAGGACAAAGATCCAAAATATCATAATGAGCCAATTAAAAAGAGCAGTAGCTCGTTCATTGACTCTAGATACGAACTAAGACGATGAAACTTAGCAAATTGACATGACTCACAATCTAAAGAACGCAAAGTATGAAATTGAAGATGGAGACTCTTTAACACGAAGAGGAAGGAGGACCCAAATGACAATGTTCTTCGAAAGGATATGGCACTCGAGTGCAAATGGTGGTTGTAGACATTGGTGTATCAAACGTGTAGAGGTCATTGGATTCACGCCCTTTACCAATAGAATAGTCTTCTTCGTCGTAAGATCTTAAAATAAGCAACAACAAGGAAAGAATAAAACAAAACAATTGAGATCACGAGTAAGTTTACTTTTAGAGATCAAATTAAAAGAGAATTGTGGTAAATTTAGAACAGAGCTCAACAAAAGAGATTTGGAAAGATGAATTGTGCCATAATCAAGAACAAGAGAAGTGGTGTCATCTGCTAAGGTAACATCAGGCAAAGATGTAATGTAGATGGGGAAAATGTAGCAAATAAATTGTAGTTACCTGACATGTGATTTGTAGCACCAGAGTCAATTATCCATTGTGATGCAGAGGAAAAAAAGACATTTATTTGCGTGACCTGCCTCTGCGATGACAGTAATTGGATTAGAGGATGATGTCGTCAATGACTCTTGATACTGTTGAATTTAACAAACTCTTTCGCAGAAATCGTCACCATTAATTTCTTCTCAATAATAACTTCAACAATACGGACACAAATAGAAAACTGCACTGAAACAAACCGAACCAGATATGGAAGAGGAAAGAAAGTTCGAGCTGGATGAACTGAACAGTGAACCAAACCAAACAAACCGGTTGAAACGAACCAAGAGAACCAAACCAGTTAAACAACCAAACGAACCAAACCAAGCAAATGTCCTTATTTTAGAAACCCTAGTAGCTGCGAATTGAACTCACGACAAATTTGAAACCCACGAGACTGGCAGCGACTAAGGGTGACGGGTGGCAAAACGCGGTGACTTGTGGAGGCTGACGACAACATGCGACGACTGACAGCGACTTGCGGTTGTTAATGGCGACTTGCGGCAGTTAACGGCAACTTGCGGCGGCTGACAACGAAGCACAGTGAGTAGAAATCGAAACCTATGACCCCGAACTACAACCAACCACGCAAGACCAACACAAATGACAAACTCAAATTCCGGCGCAATAGCAACCAACGACAACAGGCAACAGTAGTAGCGACAATGACAGCGGCAGCAGCAAACGGCGATGTAGTTGCATAGCAACAGGGTTTTTCAACAAGCCCTAATAGGCACAAAACCCTAATGGGCACAAAACCCACAATTTTGGAAGAAACTCAGGGCTCTGATACCATGTGAACACTAGGGTTTGAGAGAATCAGATAACGACTATTCTCATCACTGAAGAATATATATAGACAAATATACAATATTGACCTAATAATGTAAAAGGACTATAAAGGACAAACTAATACAGAATATTACAAGAATAAAAATATACGAATATAAATACTCTAACAAGTTCCATGAAAATTTGACTAGTTAGTGGAGAAAGATGAACCAAACCATTTACCGCTCGATTTGTAAACCCATAAGATTTCTGCTGTAAGATTGTGTAGTATACGACTGTTCTGACCACCAATATGCTGCTTTTGCAATTGCACTAGAGACAACCCTGTAGGTTCAACACTGGGAAGCCCACTGCCATTACTGGAAGAGTCCCTGCTCACATAAGACTAGTTGGTTTGAACACCACCAAGAAGTAGTATTGTTCCACAAAATATCTTCAGTTGTAAAAGAGTCTTCAAAAACTCGTTTAAAAGAACATTAGTGTCCTAAATGAAAACAAATATGGTAGATAAATAGGGAGTAACTGAGATATATTTTTCAAGTTATTCGACAAAATGGGGTACAACATGAGATTAGGTTAGACCCATTACATAATTTAACAATCTATCCTAACAATGTTTTGATTAAAAAGCTATAGGAATCTATGTCTTCTCTACATTGTATTTTAGCAAAAAGAGTGAACATATGACAGTGGTTTGGCTTTTCCTAATGAGAAAATCCGTAAGATCTATTTCCACTTAGATTATTTATTTCCTTCGAATCCATTCTTACATCAATTAGCTGGAAGAATCTAGTCACTTGTATATGGTGTTTCAATTTGGTAAGATTTTTTTCTTCTTTTTTTAACAAGATACAAACTTCTCATTGAAATAATGAAAAGGAACAAAATTGTTCAAAACATACAAACTCTCGAGAGAGTGAAAAGGAAAAACAAGCAAGAAATAAAAAAAGAATTACCAATGATAAATAAAGGCACCCCAATTAGAACAAATAAGACTAGGGGAGTAATCTCCAAACAAAGTAGATAGAGAACACTGCTGAGAAACTTTGAATTTTGCTAGTGAAACCAATTGAACGAGAATTTCCTTCTATCGTCAAAATTTCTTAGATTCCTTTCAAACCACAACTCATATATCATAGCGTTTATAGCATTCAGCCACAGCAGATTAGCTTTAGGAGGCAAATATGACCCAAGAAGAAGTTGAATAAGATCATTCACTGTGGCCCCATCGCAAACCCAAGATAAGTTGAACTCAGCCCCTTTCAAACCAAAACTCATATAACACAACATTTCAATTTAGTAAGATGAGGGCATTGTCATGTTCTTCAAGCTGTTCTTCATCAATTTCATTGCTACCAACATATGGGACATATCCAGCTCGTCTCATCTGTTGTAGAAGTGTTCTCAAAAGCATGTAGATTTCTTTCTTCTTTGGATTTCTTTGATCCTTAACCATAAAAACATTCATCTGACCCTGAATTTCAATCCAACTGCAACCTGGATGTTTAACCACTCCTCTCTTTCTCATCAGCTTTCTTATTCTCACAACATTCCCCCAATCTCCACGTTCAGCATACATATTCGAGAGAAGAACATATGGCCCAGAATTCTCAGCATCTACCTCTAAAAGCTTCTCTACTACATATTCCCCCAATTTGATGTTCCGATGGACTTTACAAGCGGCAAGCAAGGATCCCCAGATGATAGCATCAGGCTGCATCGGCATTTCCTCTATTATATCTTTTGCTTCTTCAAGGCAGCCAGCTCGACCTAGTAAATCAACCATACATGTATAATGGTCTTTTAATGACACCAAACCATATTGTGCACTCATGGATCGAAAGTAATGGCGGCCTTCATCAAGCAGCCCAGCATGACTACAAGCGCAAAGAACACCGATCATTGTGACATGATCTGGTTTCTCTCCTGATTCTAACATTTTACTGAAAACTCCAAGGGCCTCATTACCAAAGCCATTTTGTGCATATCCAACTATCATAGCATTCCATGAGACACAATTCCTTTTGCATCATATGTTCAAACACCTTACAACCATTCTCAACTGATCCACATTTCATATACATATCTATTAGAGAATTCCCAACAAAAGTATCTGACTCTTCTCCCGATTGAAATCGAAATCCATGCTTTAAAACATGAGAGTGAGCCTGTCGGCCAAGCTGCAAATCAGCAAGGTTTGCACAAGCATTTAGGAGATTGCCAAAGGTGTAGTGTGTAGGCCAAACAGACTCCCTCTTCAAAAAACGAAAGAGTACAAGTGCCTCTTCATTCTCTCCATTTTGTGTACACCCTGCAATAAGCGCATTCCAAGTAATTACATCTTTCACCAACATATTTGAGAACATACATCTTGCAGCTTTTACACTTGATGCTTTTGCGTAGCCACTCACCATTGAGGTTTCAGACACCACACTCCTAATTGGCATATGATCGAAAACTATTCTAGCCTCGTTAATCCTGTTACATTTAGCATACATATCAACCAATGCATTACATAAAATAAGGTCATTTCTAAATTCATCACATTTCACAACACGAGTATGAATCTGCTGACCTTTGATCGCTGAGATAGTTGCACATGCACTAACAACACTAGCAAGTGTTACTTCATCAGCTTCAACCCTACATTTGATCATTTCAAAAAAAATAACAAGAGCCTCATCAACTGGACCATTCTGTTCATAACATGTAATCAAGCTGTTCCAAGAAACTCTACTTCTTACGGTCATTCCATCAAAAACACTTCGAGCACGATCAACTCTCCCACATTTAGAGTACATATCTACTAGAGCAGAGCCCATATACACATCTGATATATAATTTGACCTATATATTAAACTGTGGATTTGGGAACCCAATTTCAAATCTCGTAAACCTGCACAAGCACTGAGGGCACTGCCGAATGAATATTCATTCATCTGAAAACCATGACTATGCATTTGAGCAAAATAATTTAAAGCTTCATCAAAGCAATCATGTTGTTCGAAACCTGAAATCATAGAATTCCATGAGCATTGGTCAACTTCAGGCATCTTCTCAAAGATATCTACAGCATCATCAAGAAATCCAAATTTCGTGTATGCACAAATGATGGAGTTCCAAGAGAAAATATTTGTCTCGAGCAATCCATCAAACAATTTGCGAGCAACATCTACACAGCCACATTTCCCATACACATCAATGAGCCTATTTTGGATAAACGTTTCTGAGGCAAAGGGCAATTTAATTATGCAGGCATGTACACAACTCGTGTCTCTAGCTGACTTAGAGCGAGCACATTGGTTCAAGAGCTTGGCAAAATGTGATGAATCAAGAAATAACAGGTCACTCATGAGATGTTTAATCAATCCACTCCTGGACATTCTATAATCCTCAAAGAAAATAGCCTCATGGGTGTGCTCTTATCAAATCTACGAGTGTTTTAAAAGAATGTGAACTTTTAAAAACCTAACCAACAAATACAACTTGAATAATAGCTTCCTCCCCATCAACTATAAAACCTTGTCAAGTCAAGTGGTTCCATCTCCTAGACAATATCAACTATCTTCCATAATTTAAACCCCTGCATAATGTACAATCAAAGTTTCCACGTTTACTTTATCCAGTATAACAAAGGCCGACGACTCTAGAGATAGTTATATACTCAAAAACATGAAAGCAGCTTGTAGTATGAAAAATACAAAGCAAATATAAACTCAAATTTCTATTTAGAATGTCAAGTCAAAACCAAATCAATAGGTGAATATCAAGATCAATATAAGTAGGCAGAATCATAGACTAATTGAAATACATTACAGTCTGTGTAGTAAGTTTTCCCAACTCAATAGTTTACAGTTAGATAGAATGAACTATTACAGGGACATGCATTTTGTACTTTTGCTTGGTAAGTGTTGAGTTCGGAACTTGTATATATAATGTCGATCCTCCCACTCCGGTCAAATGATCATGTTGCTAAAATATTTTCAGGTTATTTGGAGGCCCAGAAGCACGGACAAGGACATGGAACACGTGCACGGGCACGACAGGACACGGCAATACGTAAATTAGGACACAGACACTCTCATGATGTCGGGCTTAGGAGTGTTCCAAATTGTTTATAAAACTATGCCCTGTAGCCATTGGGTCCAGGAGATTTGTTTGACCTCAACTCTTTTACAGCTCTCCAAATTTCCTCCTCTGTAAATGGTTGCTCAATATCTACCCGGCAGTAATTGGGTTCCATTCTAGAGGCGTGGGGAGGAACCTTGAGCCTTCCTTTTTAGTGTATAACCTGTCAAAAAAGCAGAGAAATTCATGTCCAATTTCTTCCTCTTCAAAGAGGCTAGTACCTTCCGAAGAAAGAATTTATGTGATGGAGCTCTTCCTCCTTTTTACGGCCACTATTCTGTGGAAAAAAATGTGTTTAGATCACCCTCCAGTAACCATCTAGTTTTGCACTTCTGTCTCCGTAGGATCTCTTCTTTGGCCAAGTTGAAAGCAATTGAGCTTTAATGGATTTCCTCTAGGAAGATTGAACAAGCTGTAGAGAACCAACATCTTCCTCTATACTATCCAAAAGAGATAGCTCTGTTAAAAGCTGGTTCTTTTGTTGAGTGATGTTTCCAAAGGTAGAATTGTTCCATGTCTTTAAAACTGCTTTCAGCCCCTTTAGCTTTTGAATAAAGTCGTGCCCCGGCAAATGTTAAGAAATCCTTGAGAGTTGGATCTAAGAACCTTGCTAACGAACAAGACCCATAGAACTCAATCCCAAAAACCCCGAAAACAAGTAGGAATCAACCCAAGGAAAAGTTTAAAAACGGATTACCTTGATGATCAATATCAAGAGTAGAGAAAACTCGTTTCTAAACTTGTGATTCGAATCACTCCACAAGAGTATGATCAACACCGCTTGAATGATCCTAACATGCAAATTCTAAAGACACAAGAAATTGCACAAGAAATGGGAGATAAAGCTCTCAACCAAGCTAATGAGAAAACTCACTTTTCATTAAACTTCAAATTGTGTTTACAACAAGACATCTCAAGGCTATATATAGCCATCCTAACAAGCCATATGAAAGGTCCTAAGAAAATGGAAAGACTCATAACTTACGAGAAATGAAAAGACATGTAAATGTAAAGACATAACCTACCAGAAATGAAATGACAAGCAAATGAAAAGGTTAAGGACATGGAAAGCCAACCAAAATAAGTGTAATCCCGTCCATAACGAGGGATGTGAGTGTTTGACTTGGTTTTTGAATTGAATGAGTTGATTTTGACTTGTCTTGATGGAATTAACTTTGACCTTGACCAAGTTGACTTTAACTTACCTTAAAAAAACTTAGAAATGTGAATTGTTGAAGTTTGCTAGCTCTTGAAATTATAATCGGTCAATGAGGCATGACAAAGGGAGCTCCTTGGTTCATATCAGGAGTGTTCTTAGAACTCAAGGAAACAGTTGTACAACCTATAGAACAGATCCAGTTCAAGTAAGGTCATCTTGGAGAGGAGTGTTCTGCCACCAATAGTCAACCAAAGGTTTGAAAGAATGATGTTGAAGCCAAGCATTCTCAAACAGGGAAGGGGTAGGGCCCCATTTTGCCAAGCCAAAAGAGAGATGAAGGGGGTAGTGATGTGAGGTCGGGCGATTTAACCTTTTAACCATGGCGTTCTTAAATTTTGTGAGGAAATCCTTTCATTCAAGGAATCTGTCAATCAAGGTGAGAGTGGGGTCTTCCCGAAAATCAGACCATGTGTAGAGCCCGTTTGTTAAGGGTAGATCTTGCAAATCTGCAATCTCAATGGAGTTGAAGCACCCCATGTTTCTGGTTGGTCATCGATAATTTGATTTCTCAATTTGATTTCTGAAGGGACCGTCTGATGGAGTTGAAATCACCACCAACCACCAAAACTCATAAGAGAGGCATGAGAGGTCTTCTAATTCCCTCCACAAACTAGGCTTTTCTTCCGCTCTCGATGGTCCATAGACCCCTGTAGCCAAAATTTAAAGCCATCAGAGAAGTAGAGAAGTTGATAAGGATGGTTAAAGAGTAGAGTCCCGTAGTGATGTTTGAAATGAGGAAAGAAAGGTCATTCCACATGATAAGAGTACCCCTAAAGATCTTGATGTATCCAAAGTTGTCCATCCAATATCCCAAGAGCTCCATAAAGATTTGATGGTGAGGTAGTCAACCCTTGTCTAATTCTGTTTTTTTAAGGATCACAATGGTAGGATTTTGTTTGGTGATAAGGCTTTTAATCAAGGCTCGTTTGTCCCAAGAGCCAAGACCTCTAACGTTCCATGAGATCATGATTATCGAGCAAATGTAGACCCACCGATTAAGTGCTTGGTATAGTGGCTGTTGTAGTTGATGGATGCTGTGAGACCTGCTAATTCCCCCTTTTCCCTTGTTTC